GAGAACTCCGTATTGATAGAGCAGTATCAGATTCCAAAGAACACAGGATGAGATGTTACTATCCTTTGTGCAAGCACTTCCAAGAGTTCATGAACAGTGAGCCTGGTGAAATTTGGGGAGCGCATCGTCAGTAGTGACCCTTTGGTTCCTAGGGTGTTTCATACTCCAAAGTCATTATACGTTGGATTCCATTCCTCCTTAATTATATTTCTCAACCGGATACGTTTTACTGATATAAATATTTGTGGAAATCCACGCGTCTGTTTAGTGGAGTGGTCGGGTTGCCACGTCTAAAATATAAAAAAAACTGGGACATATCATGGGAAAGGTACATCTCACAATCATGGCAGAGGGGAGGACCACGTGTAAATATGTTGTTTTGAGCGCTGAATTGCGTGTATGTTGAACGTCTTTCGCACCGTACGTAGCCAATCACGGGGGAATTACAACAAGCGGGACAACTGACAACATTAGAATAGTTAATGTCTCGTGATGTATCGACGGCACATTTTTTCCAGTATCAAAAATGATCAATGCCTGCTTGTTTGCATGTTTTTGCCACAAGTATGTGCGGCTAATCCAGACGCGATGCCGTGCAATAGGTATCTATTGTGGTGTTTGAACATCTTAGCACTTCCTGTTACTGGTAGGAACCACCTGGTACCACCAGCCCACAGGGGATTATTGTGTCCGTCCGTCCGTCGTGCAGGGAGGGAGGGGCTGGGTGGGGAGGGGAGGGTGGGGAGGGGCTGGGTGGGGAGGGTGGGGCTGGGTGGGGAGAGTGGGGAGGGGCTGGGTGGGGTGGGTGGGGCTGGGTGGGGGGTGGGAGGGGTGGGGCTGGGTGGGGAGGGACTGGGTGGGGAGGGTGGGGAGGGGCTGGGTGGGAGGGGTGGGGCTGGGTGGGGAGGGGCTGGTCACCCCGTGGTTCCCTTATAAAACTCAACGTTTAACCTACTCACGCCGGCTTGTGCCCGCCCTCACAGTCGGGCATATTTGCGGAATACACCACGCTGCCGTTGACCCTGGCCATTGACCGAGCAACCCAACGTTCCTACCAGCTCCCTCCGCAGGAATGTGTTTTATTACCAGAAAGGGTAACGCTTATTTCCCGTGATCACTGACAGATTTCCCAGGACAGGTGGGAAACCAGGACATGTGACCACCATAGGGGGTGGAAACAGGGCCATTGTGTAATCGTGTGCAGTGTGCCTAAGGCATGTCAGTGTTGCCAGATTTGGAAACTTATAAGTCAATGAAGAGCATAACAAACCTTTCAGATGGTGAAAATCTATACTGGATAAATAATGTGAGGAAAATTGCCTTCAAGGTAATAAAGATACACTTTAAAAAGGACAAAGGATGATCTCACAAAAGTATTTAACCACGCGCTGAAGCCATTATTGCAATGTTTACTCAGACAGGCAGAAATAAATCCGTCTGAAGCTACACATTAGAATGGTCAATAAGCCGTCCTTTAAATGTAGAGATAGAAAACTATGATCTGACCTGATGGTAAAATCCTCTGAGCTGACCTTGAGGGTAAACCTCTGATCGGACTTTGTTCTCAAACTACCAAAGTTCTTTAGAGGTAAAACCTTTGATCTGAATTGTGCTCAAAGCACTAGCCTTGAACTGAAACAAACCAAACTCATTAAACCCGCCACCACCCGACACAGCCAATTAGTAAAGTTTGTCACGTAAATAGAACACGCCAATTCGTTACGGGATTGGCACACCGATGTGTTGGAGAGTATATCCACAACATTTAAATTTTTTGTTTGATGTTGTGGATATTAATTCATAATTCGTTTCTTTTGGGTTAGATTGTGTCGGTACAATGTCAGTATTTAACCATAACCCTCCAGAATCTGACAGAGCCATTAAAATAATGTTTTCACAGGGGTATATGTACATTGATTTGGTATGTGAGCTCATTGGAAAGCAAGTCCAATTTCCACAATTATATATGCTGGAGATTACATCCAACATCATCAGGGGCTAACAATAGCTTAGCTCTTGCACGATTCTGGATTAAATCTGCATTTGTGAAAAAGAACTGGAAAACCCATCGGATTCCTCCAGTATGAATATATATTCTGATTCTGAAAACATTGCGCCAAATTGTTAATATTTTTTGGTTTATTTTCAACATTCCTACAGTTTGCTGAAAATAAATAATCAATTTGCACATTTCTTTTCCATGCGGCGACTTGATTTGACTGGTTCTGTCGGGTGGTGGTGGGTTATATTTCGTGAAGGACGCTGTTACTGGACAATTGTAGGCAGTCGCCCTCCAGCAACAACGGAGGGCAGAAGATCGATGCTCACAACAACGAGCGGAGCGCCGGACGGTCAAAACGCAGCAAGTTGGCACAGTCGAGAGTACAGCTGGTGGTGCATTTACCGGTCATCTCAGTCAGCCAACCCATGGCACCTGCTGGGTCTGTCCCGTGACCTCCTGCACCTAGCCTGGCACAGCAGGGGGGTACAGCTGGTGGTGCATCTACCGGTCATCTCAGTCAGCCAACCCACGGCACCTGCTGAGTCTGTTCCGAGACCTCCTCCTGTCAGCGAGCCTTCGACACTTCACGTGGCAGCCTCAAAGTGCACCTGGCCTGGCACAGGCGCCGTGGTGACGTCGCCGTCACTTAGTGGCGATTGGTATTGGTTATATTGAACACTGACATTTTACCTATACGAACTAACTCAAAAGGAACTCCATAATAGAGTGTTTTTTTGTTAGAGCGCTTAAATATAAAGGTGCCAATAAACCCGCCACCACCCGACACAGCCAACTAGTAAGGTTTGTCACGTAAACAGAACATGCCAATTCGTCACTAGTACAGCACTAGTGTGTAGTGTAGTGTATAGTGTAGTGTAGTATACTAGTCTAGCATCACCGGTGTGTTGGAGAGCCAAGCCACAACATTTACAATCTGAGCACGACGTTTCGCCAGTAATTACAACTAGCATCATCAGGCGGACAGACAGATGTGTGGAGAAATCCTCGTGTTTCGTTCCTTGAATAGAGGGGTAGATGTGATGACGTCACTTGTGAGCCATTCACGTGCGATCAAAAGTAACTGATTATAATGAATCGTAACGTTGATGATAGCGAAAGCCTATGTATAGTAAGTAAGTATTACGTACATTTTTCGCAACACAGGTGAGAAGTCAGGAACCAGGCTATCCAAAAAAAAAAAAACCCAAATATCACGTGTAAAATGGAAAATATGGCAACAGACATGGAAGAGACGTTGTCTGCTTATGTGTTTTGCCATTGACATGATCCACGACGCGAATTATTTTGCATCATCGAAAGTTCTGGTGTGGTCTATAGGTGAACCTCTCCGATTTGACATAGGCATACAACCTCTGATAGACATTAACTTTTAGAGGATAAACGTCTGTAGTAGCCCAGAGGCAAACCCTTTGATATGACATTGGCATAAACCCTCTGATTAACTTAAGAGGCAAACCCTCTGATGTGACATTGGCATAAACCCTCTGATTAACTTAAGAGGCAAACCCTTTGATGTGACATTGGCATAAACCCTCTGATCAACTTAAGAGGCAAACCCTCTTATAATAGGCGTTCCCCCCTTCTGGCAATAAAACCTTTGCACGGAATCATGTCTGCATCAACCACATATATGTGTGGTGAACATGCAAACAAAAAAACATGTTTTGACAGTATGTGCATTGTCTTTGAAACTGATTGGTCCACACCAGAGACAACTTTCTTTAGAGCCTCGTCTCAAACGGTGTTAGACCGGAGGGCGCCAAAAGGCCTCCATCACAAATCAAATGCACTATCAGAGTAATGAGAGCTCGGGGTGAGCAGCTACATCATGGGACCTCCTTTGCCGGTAGTAATTTATGATAATAGGATTTTCCCCATTCTTTCAATAAAACAGGTCTTAAGATGTTAAATCACCAAACTTAAACCTTTGCAAGGAATCATGTCTGCATTTACCACATTTACTTGGGGTGAACATGCAACGAAAAAACATGCTCTGACTGTATGTACATTGTCTTTGAAACTGATTGCCAGAAAGAGGAAAACGCTATTATCATAATTTAATACCGGCAAAGGAGGTTCCCATGATGTAGCTGTTCACCCCGAGCCCTCATTACTCTGATAGTGGGTTGTCTTTGTGCTGTACGCCTTTTGGCGTCCTCAGGGTTAACACCGTTTGAGATGAGGCTCTAAAGAAAGCTGTCTCTGGTGTGGCCAAATAAGTCTAAAAGACTATGCACATATTGCCAGAGCATGCTTGTTTCTGTTTGCATGTTCACCACAAATATCTGTGGTTGATGCAGACATGATTCCTTGCAAAGGTTTCGGTGTGTGGTGTTTTAACATCTTAACACAGCTGTTTTATTGGTTCAAATAAAGTAACAAGTAGTTTTTTTTTAGAATTATGTGGGTCTTTCGATAAAGCCACGTGGATAAAAAAATAACAATAAAAAAAATAACAATATCACGACGTCTCGATCGCAACACACGCAATCGTCTTCAGGTGTGTTTTTGGTTATTTTCTTTGAACCTATCCACGTGACATTACCGAAAGACCCAAGAATATGAATTCCTGCACTCACGAAAGCTTTAAGTCGAGATTGAGGTTAACCCCTCCCCACCTCTATTGTCGCGGGGGGGGGGGAGGGGTCACCAGTCGCCCCTCCCCCTGCTACACCTGCGTGACCCCGGAACCCGCGCGCGCGGCCGCGTCACTGCCTCGTTCCACAGTGGCTCCTCCCCCCCCACAGCCCCCACCGCCGCCCCCACCATCACATTACAAACTGTACACTGCACAAGCGCTGACGGGCGTTTTGCCGCATCCCATTGGCGGTTCGTGCCCCCCCCCCACCCCACCGTCAGCCAATCGATGAGCGCGCGCGCTCGCCCCGGCGTCGCCAGCCAATAGCGAGGCGCGTAGCGGGCTGGGGGCGGGGCAACCGCGCGCGTCCGCTGTAGGGAATGTGGAGGCGTCGTGCTGGCAGGTTCGGGGGTTGTGGAGGCGCGCGGTTTGCCTCCCGTGGAGAAGCCGAGGCCCCGGGTCCCCTCGGTCCCCTTGACCCCCCACGGACACCCCCACACACACACACCGGGTCGCCTGGGGTCCTCGGGCCCAACTAGGGGCCTCGCAGACTCTGCTGCACGCAGGGCTGCCTGCTGGCACGCGTCTCCCCGCGAGGTCAGAACCACGCACGGGGGTCCAGCGCGCTAGTTCTCGCGTCTCTTAAGGCGTGCGGCGGTGGTGGCGTTACGGGGTTAAACCTGGGTCTGGGGTTAAAGCCAGGTCTGGGGTTAAACCTGGGTCTGGGGTTAAAGCCAGGTCTGGGGTTAAACCCGGGTCTGGGGTTAAACCCGGGTCTGGGGTTAAACTCGGGTCTGGGGTTAAACCCGGGTCTGGGGTTAAACCCGGGTCTGGGGTTAAACTCGGGTCTGGGGTTAAACTCGGGTCTGGGGTTAAACTCGGGTCTGGGGTTAAACTCGGGTCTGGGGTTAAACTCGGGTCTGGGGTTAAACTCGGGTCTGGGGTTAAACTCGGGTCTGGGGTTAAACCTGGGTCTGGGGTTAAAGCCAGGTCTGGGGTTAAACCCGGGTCTGGGGTTAAACCCGGGTCTGGGGTTAAACTCGGGTCTGGGGTTAAACTCGGGTCTGGGGTTAAACTCGGGTCTGGGGTTAAACTCGGGTCTGGGGTTAAACTCGGGTCTGGGGTTAAACTCGGGTCTGGGGTTAAACTCGGGTCTGGGGTTAAACTCGGGTCTGGGGTTAAACTCGGGTCTGGGGTTAAACTCGGGTCTGGGGTTAAACTCGGGTCTGGGGTTAAACCCGGGTCTGGGGTTAAACTCGGGTCTGGGGTTAAACTCGGGTCTGGGGTTAAACTCGGGTCTGGGGTTAAACCCGGGTCTGGGGTTAAACCCGGGTCTGGGGTTAAACCCGGGTCTGGGGTTAAACTCGGGTCTGGGGTTAAACCCGGGTCTGGGGTTAAACCCGGGTCTGGGGTTAAACCCGTGTCTGGGGTTAAACTCGGGTCTGGGGTTAAACTCGGGTCTGGGGTTTAACCTGGGTCTGGGGTTAAACCCGGGTCTGGGGTTAAACCCGGGTCTGGGGTTAAACCCGGGTCTGGGGTTAAACTCGGGTCTGGGGTTAAACCTGGGTCTGGGGTTAAAGCCAGGTCTGGGGTTAAACCTGGGTCGGGTTAAACCCGGGTCTGAGGTTAAACTCGGGACTGGGGTTAAACTCGGGTCTGGGCTTAAACCCATGACTGTGGTTCAAGCCAGGTTTGGGGTTAAACCCAGGTCTGGGGTTAAACTCGGGTCTGGGGTTAAACCCGGGTCTGGGGTTAAACTCGGGTCTAGGGTTAAACTCGGGTCTGGGGTTAAACCTGGGTCTGGGGTTAAACTCGGGTCTGGGGTTAAACTCGGGTCTGGGGTTAAACTCGGGTCTGGGGTTAAACTCGGGTCTGGGGTTAAACTCGGGTCTGGGGTTAAACCTGGGTCTGGGGTTAAAGCCAGGTCTGGGGTTAAACTCGGGTCTGGGGTTAAACCTGGGTCTGGGGTTAAACCCGGGTCTGGGGTTAAACTCGGGTCTGGGCTTAAACCCATGACTGTGGTTCAAGCCAGGTTTGGGGTTAAACCCAGGACTGTGCTTAAACCCGGGTTTGGGGTTAAACCCAGGACTGTGGTTCAAGCCAGGTTAGGGGTTAAACCCGGGTCTGTGCTTAAACCCAGGTTAGGGGTTAAACCCGGGACTGTGGTTCAAGCCAGGTTTGGGGTTAAACCCAGGTCTGGGGTTAAACCCAGGTTAGGAGGGGTTAATCTCAGGTCTGGAGTAAAACCCTAGACTGGCATTAAGTCCCCACGTTGATAGTTTTATATTCACCATTTGGTTGTGGATTTAATTTAAATCAGGGGTTGGAGTTTAAACCCAGGACTTGATGGTGTATTGGTAAACCCAGGAGTTTGTTTTAAACCAGGGAGTTATGAGTTTTGATAATACTCAAGGTTAGAGGTTAAATTTGCATTTGGGGTTAAATCCAGGGATGATGGGTTTTGGTTAAACCTAACGTGGTTATGGTTAAACATAATGTTTGTTTAGCTCAACCCAGGGTTGGTGATAAATCAGTGGGGCTCATTTCTAGAGGTGATGGGTTCAGAGTTCTAGTTAAACCCAGCAATTTGGGTTAAACCTGCATGTTTTGCTGGTCAGCTAAGGTAGGGGATGAGGAGTTTGTGTGAAACCCATGGCTCATGATTGTGGCTAAGGCCATATGTTCAGTGTTTCGTCTAAAACCGGTTTTTATTATTGAAGTAAGCAGTTTGAGTTAAAGCCTGGTGTTAAGAGGTTTGTACAGGTAGGAACAACAGGTTCCACACTGCCCATCATTGATTATTTGTCTGTCGTGCATATTTGTCTGTCCGGCACGAATGCGCTGTCCAACCAAGTTCCCACCTGCCCACTCCGAAGGAACGTGTTTCAGAGGTAGGCGTCAGTAGTTACACAATGTTAATGAACAACAGGAAGCATTCACATTGCCATCACCTGAAGGGTCACATTTTACGTGGGACATTTGTTGACCTAGACCAGATCACTTAATTTCCCCCAGTTAACCCAAATAAGGGTTTATCTGCCCGCCCTTGTCCTAAATCAACGTTCTGAACTCGTCCGGGTCCTCCCTTACGTCAACTCAACCTTAAATTAGTACCCGGTGTGGTGTGTACATATTGGCACTGGATAGATGTACATATTGTTTGGACCTGGCAACACCACTCCACTCACGTGCTGTGTGCTGGCCTTCATAGATGCTAATAACACCAAAGCACTATATCACTAAACACTGGGTATTGATGCACTGTGTGTGTGTGTGTGTGAGCAGCGAGGGCATCCGCCAAGATGTTGGAGACATACGTGACCCCCATCCTGATGTCCTATGTTAATCGCTACATCAAGAACCTGAAGCCCTCGGACCTGCAGCTGTCTCTGTGGGGCGGCGATGTGGTACTCAACAAGCTGGAGCTCAGGCTGGAGGTGCTGGAGCAGGTAGGCAGTGGCACCTGCATGGCACATGGCTCACTCGAGCACCTGGTTATCTAAATAATTCGTGCATTTGGTAGAAACGTGCCATTCTTAGAGTGCCAGGGTATATCAAGAAGGTTGTTGTTTTTAACAGTGTAGTCTGCCAACAGGAAGCGATGTTGTGTGGTGCTTTTTTCTCTCAATAATAATAATATTAATGACATTTATAACACGCCAGATTTTGCAGACAAGTCAACAACTCAGAGGCGCCGAGCCAAGCTCATGGCCTGCTGGAAAGCCCTGACCAAACAGATAGAGGCCTCTAGATGTTTCTTGGAAGTCAGAGTGCATTTGATATTGCGGATGCACACGGGTAGAGTTCCACACTGAGGAGGCAACAGCAGCGAACAGACGTGAAGCTGTAACAAAATTACATTTGCAAGTAATTTTTAAAATTTACTAAATATTTGAGTTGTGACACCACAACACAAGGCCTCATAATTTTTCGAATACCGTCACAGAATCCTTAACATCCATCGCGAAGCCGATGGCGCGTCGTATGTTATGATTAATAGGAATGCATCCGCAGTATCAATCGATGTGGCCGTTAGGCTCGAACCACAACAAGCACCAAGAATGCTACCAATCGGCTGTTTCACCGCCCCGTGTCTCGCTCCATTCTCTACGGTGCATTTGTTCTGTACATTAGGGCTGTCTTGCACTGTAAAGTGTGCCCGTGTACCACCGGCCCAATTCAATGGTGGGGTATATTCGTTTTCTGAAAACACCGTTATTTCCGTGAAGGTCAAATTATGCCAAATTACAGCTCAAAATTGTATTTTCGACTACTGAGCGATTCATATTGTATTAAAATACTCTTAGGTTAAATCAAGGGTATGAAGTAACTTACCAAACACAAGAACATACTTGGTCTGGAGGTGCGGTGGAGCAGTACTGTTACCGCTCCATACAAAACAGTACTGAGACTGATCGGGTGGCACTTGTGTTGCTGCACTACTTCTGTGAAACTACTGGACATTTAAATTTCGATTTAAAGCTTTCGTGACTGCAGGGATTACTGGACATTTGTGAACAAAGATCTTCATAGCTCATCGGATTCCTCCAGTTTAAATCGAGACTGTGACACGTGCGTTGAGTTTATCCGCGTGTCCGCCTCGTGGCCCCTGTAGGAGCTGAAGCTGCCCTTCACCTTCCTGAGCGGCCACATCCATGAGCTTCGCATCCACGTTCCGTGGACTAAGCTCGGCTCGGAGCCCGTGGTCATCGCAATCAACACCATCGAGTGCATCCTCAAGCTGAAGGACAGCGCTCAGGTGAGCAGCGCAACGCTGAGACACAAGGCGCCGTTTGTCCTTGCTGCGAATTGTACTCGGAGTAATGATGTACCCATCTACCCCCACCCCCCCCTTCGCTTTTCCCGCGAATTGATGAATTGCTGCAATTCTATCTGAAGAATAGGAATTAATTCATGGCAATGCTTGTGATTATGATCCAGCATAAAGTCCAAACTGGAATATAAAGTTGCGTTTGCTATTAGGGACTTGCCTGATTGAAAGCCGCCCAAAATTATCGAAGGGCTGCCAAAAACGCCAGAGGCATAAACCACAGAAAAAAACACATGACTGGCATACTGACAGCTGCCAATGAAATACTTCTGAGGACACATGAATATTAGAAAAGTTACCTCACCCATGTGTATGTATGATTTTTTCTAACTTTTTTTTCCCCTCCGTATTGTACTGTCCTGTTTATACGATTTTATTTGAATTGTATAATTTATATGATGTTTCTCCTTTGTGTCATATTTACTGCCTCTTTCTTTTGTATGGCATATTTGTCCTGAATAGTAACTAAATGGTAAGAGGAGGGAAATCATATAAAATCATGATAAAAATCACTACTTACATAGTTTAATGCATGTACTGCGAACCTAAGACTTTATTTTAATCAATGACGGTATGAATCGTTCCCTTAATTTGTGCTATAACCTAGCAGGCTTATTTGCCAATAATGCCGCCACCCCCCCTTTAAAAAGCCTAACCATTGTGATGAAGTATGGTCAACAAACCCCATAATTGATGCATTGTGGGGAAGCTTTCATCTGGCAGTGGATTGGCACAGGGCTGAAAGTTGCTCATTGCATTTTGCAATTATAACAAAAAAGCAATGAATTCGTCTGTTGAATCGTCATTTAAGAAAGATGGCCTGTCTGTCGCCTGTGATATCTGTCCCTGAGATATAGCGCAAGAAACACATGGCGTTTTCAGTGCAGGTGTATATGAAATGAATGTGCCTTGTAAGTCTAGTGACACCGACGACTGTATGCTGGGAGCCTCTTTATTACAGTAAAACCTTGGATTGCGAGCATAATTCGTTCCGGAAACGTGTTTGTAATCGAAAGCACTCGTACATCAGTTGTGATCACGTGACGCTCGGCAGACAAAGCGTATACACGTGCTACTCGTATTGCATGACCTCGCTCGTATATCAAATTCATATTTATTGAAAATTTTTGCTGGTTTTGCAAAACACTCGCAATCCAAGGTTTTACTGTATTAGCACAGCAACAACACTAGGCCCAGGCTTCGTTTCTTGGTCTTGAAGCTCGTCCCTTCCCTCGAACATCCCCTCCCCTCCTGCTCTCCCGTTTTATTCTCCTCAAGCCCCATTTCTCGAACTTTCCTTCACTGTTTTTTATCGGAGCCAATCCCCCGTCCTTCTCCAACGGTTCCCCAACCGTCTCCTCCGGGTTCAACTCTGTCAACTCTGTTTCCCGCTTTCCCCCCCGTTTGAATCTTTCCTCCTATCTTTTCAAACCCTGCCTCCCGGACCGATCATCGTGGAGGTCTCTTCCCGCCAACAGGAGGCCTTGGCCTACTTTTTAAAAAGACAGTTCGGCAGCACATTGGCTTGGGGCGAGCGCTTCTTATTTTCGGTCATTGCATATAAGTATTGGGATACCCCCGTGGTGTAATGGTTGAGCACACTTGACTAGCAATCCAGAGGTCCGCCAGTTTGATCTCCCAGCACAGCAGTTGAAACAATGGGCAAGTTTGTTACATCCTACTCCTACCCGCGCCCCTGCCTCTTGTCAACCCAGCAGTATGCATCATACGATAGGTACACCCACCACGGTCGATTGGAGTGCTACCACCTCTTCCAAAACGTCCGGCCGGTGGGGGATATTCAACCAAAACGCGCTCTAGAGAAGCTCCCTAGAGCCTCCTCGAATGGGGGCCCCTTCGGACAACAGTGGCGTGAGCAAAACGTTGTACGGCTGCACCTTTACGCGTACTGTTTATATACCAAGCGCATTCTTGAGACTGGGTTACGCCCATGGGATGGTAGCTTTTACTTAAACTCAGGCATTGTGCTTATGTTCTGTTCGCGCTTGCGTTAATATATTTGGATGTATGTTTAACTTCTTCCGTACCTCATGTAGCCAGTGTGTGTATTGTTGTTGTGTGTATGAATACGTTTAAAAGACACATACGAGGTATGTTAGTGTTTTGAAACTCTCACTTAAGTTTCGATTTAAAGCTTTCGTGACTGCAGGGATTCATATTCTTGGTTCTTTCGGTAAAGTCACTGTAGAAGGGAAATAATAAAATAATAAAAATCAAACATAATAAAATAAAATTCTCACGACGTTTCGGCCACAACGCAAGCAGCCGTCCTCAGGTGAAGAAACAGAGCTGTCATTAGGACGCTGCCGTGGGAATTTTATTTACTTATGTTTTCTTTATATTATTTTATTATTTCCCTTCTACGTGACTTTACTGAAAAGAACCAAGAATATGAAACTCTCACTTGTTTTTATAAGTCACTTAAATATAGGGTGTTGTGTTTTTTCAATGGAGCGTGACATTACTTAGCGATACCTATTTGTCGATATATTTTACCCACAGCGTTGTGACGTGTTCCCCGAGCGTAGATACATTTATATAAATACGCGGTAATTAAGATGAATTTGCTGCCGTGTAAGCAAGTATACATTTGTTAATAACGTTTAACAAATTGATTTTCACCAAGCCGCAATGTTGGCTAATTCTCCCAAATTGGGCTGAAAGAATGTTTATTTTCGTAACCGTTTGTGTAATGTACAATATTTATTTTGCAATGCACTTAATTTTTTTTATTTATAAATTTATTAACAAAAATATACGCGTTCCGCAGAAAAAATATTCTGTTTGGCAGCGGTTTTCTTGAATACTATATATATCAAAGTTAAGACTAATTCAATCTCTTCCCATGGTCACTCTTATTTATTTTCAAAGATTTTTTTCTTGATATCCTCTTAAGGAAGTGGAAGTTGCACGTGAAATAGAAATGATGGAAAATACTTGGCACTTACATTTTATACTCGTCATTTGAAATCGAAACTTATGCTCATAATAATTTAAATGGGTTAAATGTCAATAATATGATAATGTCACATTGAGGCTAATGGTGAAGAAGAGGTGCTAGTGTCCACACTTAACACCACCACACGTGACCTGCCATTCGACTCGCTGCAGAGTACTTATTTATGCTGCTGGCTGTACAGAGGCCCGTAGGGGGATTTAAGAAATGTGCCAGTTGTGTCAACTGCCGTGCAAGGAGGTCAAATTGAACTGGCGACCTCTGGATTTGCAAGTGCAGCGTGCTGACCATTGCAACCACGGCAGCATAAAAACCAACGGAAGCAATCAAAAGTAAACAAAGCGGTGCATCACAAAGCCAGCAACAATACAAATGAGGTGGGGAAAAAAAGGAGGGAACGATTAAATTCATTTCTAAATTGAATCGCGGTCCCCGCATCGTGCCAATTCGTCCCGTTGCCACTCTGGGAGGAGAATTGTTGCATTGCATGCCTACTGGTTATGGTTGTTGAGTGAGTGTATTGTGGTAGCTCTTGAGGTCTGGGTCAGGTCGCTGCGTTGGCTGTCGCTGCTGTAATTATGTACGTTGAACTGCTTTCGCACCATACATAGGCAACCGTGCTTATCGGAGCTGCTGCACACACACACACAGGTCCTTGACCTGAGCTTTAAAAACCAAACAACAAACCCCACGGTGGGTTTTGCAGTTCAAGGTAGCTCGTGCACACGCGTGTTGTATGCACGGTTCAAATATTGATTCTGTCATGGAGGTGGTGATGTATGTACATGCACATGCCCAGCCCTTTTATAAATGCACCTGCTGGATGAGTGCCTTCCCATCACTGTGTGGGTCATCGGGTCTATTGGATCATACTGCATTGCTGGTGGTTAGTGTCGGTTGGTGATAAGGGGGGAACATAGATGTAGATGCAAGTACAGTACAACATTTTATTTACCATGGCCACGCAGACGCTTATGACAACCTGGCGTGTACGGTAGCCACCCATCCAAGGACTACCCTGGATCAGCTCTGCTTAGCTTCTGAGATTTAAGGTGTATTCTGGATTTTTTAATATCATAGATGGTGATGTAATCCTGCACATTGAGCACCAGAGCTGAGATTTCACCACACTCTTTAGAAACTGGAGTCCCTTTTAATTTGGAGTTCTGGTGGAGAAGCTCTGCTTATCTCATCACTGTCTGATTTAAATTATTTGGCAACAATTAATTGATCACCTCGAACGCACGCGATACTTACATTATATCGCCCGTCTATAAATTGATAATTTTACTTACGGAGGAGCGATAGTGCAGTGAGATAGAGTAGAACAATCCTCTTGATTGACATGGTCTTCATCCAATGGTAAATTGACAAAGGGAACATAGTCACATATCGTCTTGAATCGAATCTCGATCCACGAATCGTGACAATTCATTATGAGGCACCTACCAATCAATCATTCAATCACCAACCGGCATTACCTAACACTCCTAAGCCTTTATCTTTATGAGCATCAGCCACGATCAATCCACTGCTTGATAAACACGTGCCCAAGCTGTCATCATTTTTTTAACGATCCTGTGATGTAATAATGCCCGGGCACGCAAGCTGATTTCATCGCTCCATCTCCTTGCCGGATGTCCTCCTGGGGCAAGCCTGAGATGGCATCTTTTACTTTGCTTGAGCAGGAGTCGCGTGTGCTACCACAGCATGCCGTAGAGCGAAACTTACTAGCAATTCTATTCTTGGTTCTTTCGGTAAAGTCACGTAGAAGGGACTTTACCGAAAGAACCAAGGATATGAATCCCTGCAGTCACGAAAGCTTTAAATCGAAACTTACTAGCAATTATTATTTTACCAGGTAAGGCCCACTGAGCTATATAGGTATTTTTCAGAAGCAACTTGGCCACAAATGATAGCTCAATGAAGCGGCTTATCACGTGGAAATTTA